ATTCAGCGTTCCAAATTTTTGAGATGGAGAGCGAAATACATCTGCAGGCTTTTGCGGATGATTTCCTTCTAGTAACTTCGGGAAGAAAGAATATCGAGAAAATTACACAAAATGCACTAAATAGGTTCTTAGAGTGGGCACAAACACATAAACTTACGATCTCAGCAGAAAAAAAAAACTACCATGCTATTTATAGGGCGTAAAAGAGTAATGAAAAGAAATCCTACCATTAGACTCAACGGTAGCTCAATAAAATGCTCTTCAAACATAAAATACCTAGGATTTATCCTCAACAATAATCTCTCTCTTGGATTCCCCACTTAAAAGAACTCAGGAAAAGATGTATCGCACTCACAAACACAATGCTACGCACAACAGGACTGCAGTGGGGAGCACCACCATGGGTGCTTAAGAGGTGGTACCAAGCAATAACAGAAAGAATTGTTCTCTACGGCGTAGCGATCTGGGGAAATACACTCAACGTAAGCATGCGTAGATTACTTCTGTCCATGCAAAGGCTGCAACTCTTGCTCATCTGCAAGGGCTACAGAACTACTACTTCACAACGACAGCTCTGCAGGTTCTAGCAGGAATTCCTCCGCTAGACCTGCAAGCGGAAAGGGAGTCGTTAATTGCAAGAGTGTTAAGGCTAGGTGAGGATGGAGTTCTATGGGAACAACACCACTTTGCTGAAGACTTTGAAAAACACAAGCCAGTGACTCAAGGACATCCGGCTGAAACACATCTAAAAAAGTGTATTCTAGGCCACTATGTGACACCAAAAGATAACCACACAGCTATATTTACAGATGGCTCAAAAACCGAGACGGGTACTGGCAGTGCCTTCTGCGTTCTAAAAGGTAATACAGCTGTGTGTATAAATGGAAAAGAAGACTTGGCAGTAGGAACTCAGTATTCCAAGCTGAGCTGGCAGCACTTAAAGCAGCAATTAATTATGTGAAGAGGAACAGACTTCTCCACATTACTATTTACAGTGATTCTGCCTCTAGCCTTGACGCAATCAAAGGTTACAAAAGTAGAAGCCAGTATGTCCAAGAAATTAGAAAAATCCTCCTCAGTCTTCCACCATCAGAAAGGCCATGCCTCACGTGGGTTCCGGCTCACGTGGGCATTAAAGGCAATGAGGAAGCAGACACCCTGGCAAAAGAAGCGGCAAAGGAGGTCTCAAGAACAGAACTGCCAGATAAATTACCTAGGTCTCATCTCAAAAAGATCACTCTAAAACAACTGATAGACAGATGGCAAGCCAGATGGGACACAGCAGATACAGGAAGGAGAACGTATATGTTCTTCCCAAAAACAACGCTAGAGTTAAACTGCAATAGTGGTAGTCAGACACAGTTTTATACAGGTCATGGCCCATTCCTGACCTATCTGCATAGATTCAGCCTGAGTGACACAGAAAGATGTCAATGTGGAGAGGTGGGGGATCCAGACCACTACGTCTTCCACTGCACAAACACGGCACAGTACCATATAAGAAAGCCAAGTCAAGCTTACTGGCCACAATGGGCGGCAAATATGAGAGAACAAACAAAACAGCAAATAAAAGCTACAAGCGGTAATCAGCCATTGTCAGAGAAAGTATTCTCTAATACGACGATAAGTGTCCCCAAATAGAAATAATCAAGTGCTTAGCGCTCTGAATCATAAAATGTATAAATCACACTAAATCAATCTGGGCACACACCTCGAACCTCTCAACCCAAGACTAACTTAGATAATTAGGACTATGGCAACAACCTGCCTATATTCTTTATAATGTTTACTTTTGCAATTAATGTACAGGTCTAGGACTCGCAAGACCAGATCGTGCCAGTAAAATCTTCAACAGCAATGAGTTTTTCCTACACTTACTAATCGTGTATTTAAATTACAAGTTTGTGATAAATAGGTTCAAGAAGGGCAAGGTCAACTTATGTTATCACCTCAAGTTTATGAATGATATTATTATTGGTATGGCATTTTTTTGCCTTCTTAATTTTAATAAATATTCAACTTTTTATGCAAATCTTAGGGAAGAAATATCTGTATTTATGTGATCAATTGCATGTTTGAATCTCTTCCCTAGTGATCAGCATTACGTGCTTAATTATGTTTTGTATAAATTATGTGCATGTTCTAAGGTGATAAAAACTAACTAGTGTTTGAATCAGAATTAGTATGTAGGTAAGTCTGTTTCTCTCTTTAGACTACATAGCAGTACTTAATGATCAGTTTTATGTATTATGCTTATCAGTTTTTATTTTAATTTTCATGTATTATGTATGCATTTTTAAGTGTTATGTATGCAGGCATTAGGGATCAGCTTTCTGTATTTCTGTACTCAGTATCATGTTAGTTTTTCACTTTAATATTCAGTTTTGTACTTATGTATGTATTATCCTGTCTGCAAGTACTACGAAAGAAAATGTGGGTGAATGGTTCAATTTGTAAAACAACTACAGTTTAAGTATGCGCAAAGAACTAAATTATGCAGGAATTTGTTATCTTAGTGATAACAGGTACACAATCTTTTAAATGTTCTTACATAAGAGTCAGGCACATGGAAAGTTAAATTATGTTTGGGCGCTAGGATTTTTTTTAATCATCTTTTAATCTCTCTCTTTATTCTTTTTTTATTTTTATTTATTTTTTTAAAGTTTACTATGTGCAATAATTTAATAGGTTACAACTTTCCTCCATGCAGGACCAACGATTTCACAGAAGCCCCATAAAGATACGACGGTTGTGTCACGATAAGCACCCGCATGTAGACATTTAGCAAGTCCAGAAAATCCACGGCAGTTAATTTTTCAGGCAAAGTCCTTCTATCTTTACTTTATCTAACACAAGTTTCTGTCTATTCTAACAGCGATTCTTAACAGTCTTTTGATTGCTTCTTTGCTTAATTTTAAGTAGTTCCTAACAGGATACTCTTTCCCCGTACAACAACATCCAAGCTTATATGTAGACTATATGAGGCTCTTAGCCGTCTATTCGGCTGCGTTCCCGGAGCAGGATGGAGCAGAGAGTAGATGGTTTCTGCCAGGAAGATAACACACTGTGAGGCTAAGGCCAGGTCAGTGGTCTTCCTTGGTGGCGCTCACTCACTCACTCACTCACCCATCCGTAAAATCGTAATGCTATAGAGAAGAGAACTGCAGTTTCTGTCCTCGCTGGCAGCAGTCTGGACCAGGGTCCCCAACTCTTTTGTCCCTATGAGCACATTCTAGAATATCTGTTGGATTTCGGGCACAATTTACGTTTTCAAAGTGACGCTTTGTGCTGGTATCTGTAATAGACGCAATTTGATTTAAATTTTAAGAAAACTTCCACATAGAATTTAATTGAAAACTAAAAAAACTTTTCTTGTGATCGCACAGCGGCGGGCGCCATGGTGCCCGCGGGCGTAGGGTTGGGAACTCCTGGTCTAGAGAAGAAAGCACTTCACAAGAGCATTCTATTGGCAAACATCGCCATTAAAATAACTAACTAAAATTAATAGATAATTGAATAAGATAATTGAATCTCCCGGTTTTAATTTTTAGCCTTTACCAGAATGTTTTCCGATAATAACTAAATTTATAGCATGAATGAAACTTGAAATGCGCAAATTCTATTCTTCCACCTTTAGTGATTTTCATAATAATAATTTTCTTTGTTTAAATTTTATTTCACCTGAATTGTAATTTTTTTTACATTTTAACACGACCTCTTTTGAATAAAATTTCTAAGCTCTCTCATACGCCTATAGACTTTCTATAAGATTATCACGTGACTTCTTTCATCCCATTACAGAGGCGTGGGCTGCAAAAAACTAAGTTTATCTAGTTAAATATTATAACATTAACTATTAATTTTATTTTCCTTATATTTAAAAGTACTTCGGTAAAAGAAAGCTTTTCTTACCCTATTCCGGATTTCCTCAGTAAAAAAGTAAAAGAAAATTGCAAAATAAAATTAGCCAAAGAAAATAAAATTTAGAATATCTAATTAAATACTACTGTATTTTACATCATAACTGTATTTCAAATACTTTAATAACTTGAATCATGTGTTATAGAGTGAATTTAAGTCTATTAGTAGCTCCTTTGAAATGGCGTCACCGCACATCGTTAAAACCTGCCGGTTTTTTCAGATTTAAGGTTGGCAGGCATAATAACAGGAATGTTATACACGAACTAGTAGTGAAATTAAGCAATAGTGTAATGCTATAGCATTAACTGCAGTTATTATAATCAAAATAAATTACTGCCATGATTATAATCAATATCAACTACCAACTGATAATAATAATTGCAGTTATTTATTTTATGATTTTAATCAATCAGTAATTATAAAATAAGTAACTGCAATAATTATTATCCCGTAATAATTGATATTATAATTATCAGTCATTATCAGTCAATAATTATAACCATTGTCATTGCAGTTTAACTCCAAGGATTTTAATCAGTATCAATTATTAATTTATAATAATCGCTGCAGTTATTTATTTCACTGCAATTATTAATTTATTATAACATTCGCATTTATTTATTTTGATTGTAATCATTGTCAGTTTTTATATAATGATAATAATCAATCAGTTATTAATTTATTAGAATATTTACAGTTATTTATTTTGATTATAATCAATCTGCAAGGGTTATAAGCATAATAAATAATTGCAGTGATTATAATCAATGATTTAACATTAAATGAAATGAAACATATAATCAAAATAAAAATTAAATAATCAGCTGATGATTATGATATAACTGATAATTAAGACGATGTGATAAACATGAAAAAGGACAGACACTACTGCTTTGGAAAAAGGGCCCAAGAGAGCTTTCTTTTCCTCAACAAAATTTTTATTAAATGAATTAACATTTTATAAACAATTTTATAATGCTTAATAATTTGAATAACAGAAGTAATATTATTAGTTATGCAGCTAGTACTAGCTTATAGTAATGTATGCAGTTCTAATTTATTTCTAACTCTATTTTTAGCTAAGCCTATTCGTGCTGGGCAACCTCATCTTGTGGGGGCTGGTTTTAGAGCGGGCATCATTCCTATGCTAAATATGTAAGAATATTTTTTTAAAGATTTTTCTTTCATTTTATGTACATATAGACACGATAATGATAATTTTTACAATTTTAGGGCTAATTTAGGAAGGAATGATAATAGAAGAATTGTTTCAGGTATAAGCATTTTGTTTTTTCATATATTCTCTTACTTCGATTATACTCTAAAGCAGTGGTCTCGTACTGAAAGTGCATGTGAGCCGATGCAAGGTCTGAAAAGAGCTGTAGGCCATGATTTCTTTTCACTTTTTCTTTCCCCTCCCTTTTTTTCGTAATGGAAAGTTTTGTTAATAAAATAAAAAAATTAAATAAATTTTAAATTTTGTTCATTTAACATTCATCAAAACATGACAGACAATAATAATAATATCATAAACTGAAAAAAAAATGAGATTTTAATTTATGTTTCTTCTGAAATCTAACGTTTGGTACCTGCAAGACATTTCTGCTGATTACACTTTGCAATTTAAATATTGTGACAGCTAAATATTAAACTCTTTGACTGACTTTTATTTTAGACATGCCTAGTACGTTTAATTTGTCATTAGATAATTTAATCTGAATTAAAAATAAACAATTTATTAAAACGTTTCAAATTTTCTGACGAATTTTTCCATGTGGCACAAAATTTGAGAATAAATAATGACAACCTAGTCCCTTTCTGTTATTTATTAAATTTTTCTCCGATGCATCAATAAAAATAACTTTTTTATTTCTTAGTATAGCTTGACAGGCGATAGCGTTTCGATTCTGATAAAGTGTGATGCTTGAGAGAGAAAGCTTACAATAAATTGTCTTCATCACGGATTATAGACGATCGTTTGTCAATCGGATTCTTTTCATATCGTTTTCAATTGTGTCGAAAAAGCTGTTCATATATAAATGTATTCCCAAACAAAACGATTAATCTTAGTACAAAAATTCGTAAATCTCAGGAACTCTGAATAAGATTTACTTTACATTGTACATACAATAAATAATTGAAGTGTTCCCATAAAATTGCTTTGTTGGCCGCATGTGGGCCACCAGTTTGAGATCACTGCTCTAAAGCTTTGAATTCTGTCATTAAACATTGTTTTACAGAAACAAATTAATGTAAATCATGACTGATTTCAATATAATTATGACTTAATTCAGTATAGACCTAAAATCCTGAAGAAAGAATGATATTTTTTGACAGTGTTGGTTTGATTTCTTGTCATTAAATGGACTAAAATAAATTACATTTAAAATATTCTTAAATATTTCAATTTTGTTTTTCAGTAGCCAAATCTCTATTTAATCTATAGTCTCAATATATTGCTTAATAATAACTTGGTAAAAAGTATATGTAACCAGAAAAAGTATTTATTATTATTTCCTTAATATTCCTAATGGAACACATATTACTGAAATTTTAAATTTTATATTAGATTTGTACTTCTACAAACCTTCTGATGTATCACAAACAAATGTGGTTAAATGTAGTTTATTTAACCTTTCAGTCAGTCAGTTATGGTCCTATTAAATCACATTAATTTATTCCTGTAAGTTGCAATATGCAACTAAAAATATTAGATTAGTTTTAGATATAGTTTCGTATACTTTTACTCAGTTGTGCTTAAAGTATTTTAATATATTTCTATCTACTTTAATCCTCGAAGCATGTGAGTAAGATCTATTTGACCCCACCTCCATAAAATGGAATGCTCCTCTTAAACCATGATTCACTATCACTTTATTTCTTCAGTAATTGTCATCAGTCATGACCTTTATTGTGGATCAGGTTTCAAATTTCTAGTATCGTTATTTCCTAAATAACTACTTTATAAGTATTATTTTGGAATCACGTTTACCTCATGTGAGGCTTTGTGTAAGATCAAATTTCTTGAAATCGTGGGCAGAAGTTTTCATTAGATTATTTAGTCTTCAACGTTTGCTTTCTAAAAATAAAAGGAAGTCATTTTGGAAAATAAAAGGAAATTTATCAGCAAGATAGTGCATTTTTAATAAGTCAAAAATGTTACAATTTACCAAAACATGTCAATATTTGTTAACATTTTGTATTACATGACCGAATTTTTATAATAGATTGACAGATTTTTTAAAATTAATCTTCGTAATTATTTTGGATTATTAAATTTTACGTTAATTTAATGTTATTAATTTAATTATCAGTTATTGTACGATTACTTGAGAAGATATACGAGTAATAAACCATAGAAAAAAGAAATATAGAGAAAAAAGAAAGTCAAATAATAATTACTAATCTAATCTAATAAAAATGTAGTAATAATTATATTTTACTGCAGATAAATAATAAGATTATATTTTAATCAATTTTTTCTTGCATTTTACTATAATAACTTACATGTATTTTTATATCCGATGCAGTAAATGTAATTTGAGCAGTTTGATATTTGTTTCGATATTCGCGAATAATTAATTATTTGAAAATACGCAATGTAAAAAAAAAATAGATTTAATATAGATATACTCTACAAAATATATTTCAGGCAGTAATAATTTGTAAAAAGGATATATTGGTGGTGGAGTAAAGTGTCCACATGCATCTTCGTGTATGAGATCGACTCGGGGGCTGTAAGCGCGCGTCCTTCCGAGTTAAGTGCCGTATTTAAATTATTTTACAAAGAATTATTATTTTAATTATTGAAAATAAAATATTTCTTCAATAAAATTATGTATTATTAATCAGTAATTATGTATATTGAGTGATTAATATTTTATCAAATAGTATGAAACTTAAATATGTCAAGTTATTTTAAATTAAACTAGCAGCTGTTGCAATATTTTCATATATTTCAAGAAAAGTTATTCATTTTTATGAGTAACAACATGCATTTTTAAATTACACATATACATCTGTATTTCATATATGAATGAAAGAATGAAGACTAAGTGATGACATTGTAATTTATGATTCATATTTTATATTCCGTTGAAGCTGTCTAATACCGAATAATATTTCTTTGCAGATAAAATAATTAATGACATTGAAATTACTCCTATTAAAACTTTCGAAAAAATATCAAATGAAAGGAATTTCAATGAAAAACGTGAGTAAAAGTAGTTTTCTCAGTGATGTATATTTTTAGTTAGATAATTAATGTATTAAAATTATACTCCTGATTTTCTATTAACGAAAATTATACCTTTTTAATTGCTGTTATTTGTTTTAATTTCCTTGAAATTTGAAGAGTTGAAAAAATAAATATTAAAAATTTATTGTTTTTAGAATGCTTTGAAAATCTTTCCTGAGATTTTTAATTTCTTTGATAAGATTGGTGCATGATAAACCGTATTGAACACTTGTTATGATGAAGGTAACGATCTACTGCTTTTAGTTAGTTATTTATTTCTTAGATGGCGCCACTAAAATGCTACTTAAATATTAAGTAAAATCTGAACTATTTCAGATTTTAACGAATTTTTTTAAGGACTCATGAAGTTTAATATGGTTTATCAGTATAGATTATCGAAAGAGGTCGTCCGGGTTAAATAGCGAAACATTTTGTAGAATGTTACATGAATATACATTTAGACCAGTGTTTCTTAACCTGTGGTTAGGGGTCCATGGGTCATATTTTGGGGGTCCGTCGACTGCTCCTAATTTTTAAAATGTTTGCATCAATATTTTAAAATAACTTTTTTTTTTGTCACGGGCAACCTCTGTAAGCCGTCTGTCTGCCATTTCTCAATAATAGAGACCTCCACAATACGAGGAAAAGAACATTCGCAAACCATATAAAATTGGAAATTTTTAGAAACACAAAGTAGCCTTTGAATTTTACTTCACTTGGAAATAAAGTGACGTTAAAATCAGTTCCGCAAAGTTCTTGCAAATTTTTAAAACAAAATATTTGTTTTACTTTTTCATAAGTTGTAATTAAAGTTGTTTTTTTTTTTTTTTTTTTTTTTTTTTTTTTTTGTGTGTGTGTGTGTGTGTGTGTGTCTTAATGTTTGTTCTTAATGTTTCATTTGATTATTTGATTTTTTTTGTTGCCCAAAATTTCAAAAAAAAAAAAAAAAAAAAAGGAAATATGATCAAAATTATATAAAATATGGATTCTGCTTCATGAAGGAATCGAACGGTGTTGAAAAGCCACAATAGTTTCTGTGTGGAAAAGTTTTGGCAAACGCCAGTATGAAACCGGCAAAATTGATAGAGTATCTCAAATCATCCTGAAAATGCATCTAAAGAGCTAGAATTTTTTACAAAGAAGAAAGCCCAGTTTTCGAAATCTGGAACATTAACCAAACTTGGATTTGGTATTTCACAAAACCTTTGGTTGAGGCATCTTTCAGAGTTGCATATCGTATTGCCAAAAGTAACAAACCGCATACTATTGGAGAGACATTAATTAAGCACATGTGCGCTGGAAATGGTTGAATTAGTTTGTGGACTGGAACAGAGGAAAAAAACTTGAGGCTATTCCATTGTCCAAGGATGTGATACATTCAAGAATAGTTGAAATTTCTTGCAATATCTTGAAACAGATCATCGATGAATTGAAAGCATCGCCATTTCCCTTTAGTATGCAACTGGATGAAACTACAGACATCTCGAATTGTAGTCAAACTTCTTGTTTTCTGTTCGTTACGTGTCTGCTGATACTATCAAAGAAGAATTCTTATTTTGTGAGTTCTCTTTTGCAAACTACAAAGGCAGTTGATGTTTTAGCGATTTTAAATGTTTTCTTTTCCAAACACGACTTCGACTGGAAACAAAAACTTCATTCACTTTGTACGGATGGAGCACCTGCGATGCTTGGCAATAAATCTGGCTTTTGCCCATTTGGTAAAAAAAGAGGCTCCTAATGTTATTGTTACACATTGTTTTTTACATAGACATGCACTGGCTACAAAAACTCTTCCAACCAGCTTAAAAGAAGTATTGTCAGTAGTTATTAAAACTATGAATTTTATTAGAAGTAGATCTCTTAATCATCGTCTTTTTAAAACACTGTATTAAAAAATGAACGCAGAACATGAGGTACTTCTAAACGCTGGAATTGCGCTGGCTGTCACAAGGAGTGCGCTGGCTGTCACGAGGGCAGGTTTACAAACGAATTTTCACGTTGAAGACAGAAGTATAACTTTTTTTAGAAGAAAACAATAACTCACTCTTCGAATATTTCAAGAAAAAAGATTTTATATGTAAATTGGCTTACCTGGCAGACATTTTTAACCACATGAACGATATATGTCTTTCAATTCAAGTGCCTGATACAACAATTATGGATGTCACTGAGAAACTAGAGGCATTTTTATTGAAAATGTCACTTTGGAAAATTAGAATTCAAAATGGGATATATGCAAACTTTCAAATATTGGACGAAGTGCTTTTTGAAAATGGATCTCGGAAAGATAGTTTGTTTTTGAATAACTTGAAAAATGAAATCTGTGAACACCTGGAAGTACTTCAAGTTTCATTTGAAAAATATTTCAGTTCGGATGGAATATATATAAAAGATGAGTTGTGGATTCGTAATCCTTTTCTTTGTGATATTGACAGTATCGATGACATGAACCTTGCCAAAGATGAGCTAATTGATTTGGAAACAAAGTCCTTGTTAAAAATAGATTTCGATTCTAAAACTCTTGGAGAGTTTTGGTCTTCTTTAAGAGAAGCCTACCCATTGCTTGTAAAACGAGCTATGGCAGCCATTATTCCGTTTGCTACAGTATATCTTTCCGAAGCGGGATTTTCTACACTTGTCACAATAAAAACAAAACATCGAAATAGACTGAATGTCGAACATGATATGCGCGTTGCTTTGTCGAAAACCATCCCTCAATTCAATCTGTTAATCAAGGAAAAGCAGCAACAGCCTTCACATTTAAAATTTTAATTTCTTCAAATTTGTTTATACTATTGAAATAAAAAAATACTAAAATAATTAAATAATAAAACAGAATATATTTTGTAATAAATGATGTTTAAGCAATTTTTTTTCACAGAGGGGTCCGTGACATATTTAAAGTTTTTAAATTGGTTCATTGTGCCAAGAAGGTTAAGAAACACTGATTTAGACGGACATGGGAACATTCTACATCTTCTGTATATTTGAGAAGAAATAAAATATATAACCTCATTCTATAAAAATATTTGATATTTTTAATTAAATATATTCTGAATTGAGTTAATTTTTGTTTAAATCTATCCGATTCGAAAGCGGTGAAACAATACGCTGAAGAACTGTATATATTGCTTTTGAACAGCTCAGTCTGCTAATCTGTAACAGACAGATTAAATATGAAAGAAAAATATCTTACATTTTGACGAAGGGCAACAGATTCGATTGAAAAGTGAAATAACATATTTACAGTGTAAATATCTCACATTTTGCCAAATGGCTATATATCCGACGGAAAAATGAAACAACGCATTTAAAATAGTAATATTTTACATTTTGAATGAAAAGTAAACAGCATATTTACAGTAAACGATGTAAAATCGTATTTCGCGATTAGTAGAACTTTTGGGCTGAAAGAAATATTTGATGCCTTTAATTAAATATATCAGGAAATATAGGAATTTTTATATAAATCAATCCGATCAAAATGTAAAAAGAAAAATATTTTTAAACAACTACATCTATTGCTTTTAAATAGTTTCAATAGTGTTAATTAGTTAAATAGTTTTAATAGTATTAATAGTTAATTAATAACAGATAGATTAAACATGAACGAATATATTTTTTTTTTTTTAATGGAAGCAGACTCAAATGAAAAGTTAAACATCACATTAAAGTGAATCAACACAAAATCCCATTTCGAGACTAATAGCTCTTGTGGGCTAATTAAGAATACGTAAATGAAAATGATTCCATTAATTAATTTAATAACGTATAAATATTTAATTCTTCTAAATTTAAACCCTTTCTAATTTTGCAAAAAGAAAAAAAAAAAAGAAATTGCTCTTCAAAAGGCAGTTTAGAGTCGTTCAGCCATATAGTTGGACGTATGAGATTCATACGAAATTAAATGAAGCCACAATCAATCAAAAATGTTTTTACAACTGTGATACTGCGTAGAGATACATTATCATAATGCAGGATGACTCCTTCCTCAATTCTGCCTGACCTTTAATCCTCCTTACCATCTCTCAGTTTGCTTATCAGATTGGCACGATAGTAAAGTGTTTCGTCACAAAATCAGCCAAAGTTTACCCTGATTTTTCCACTTGGGTTTCAAAATAAATTTTTTGCCCCTTCTTCTGGGGTAAAATTTCTGGAGGCCAATCGAGCCGGTACTTTGTCCATGAACGGATGCTGTGTCACACACAATCTATTATTAATTAACTATTAAAGGTCGAGATCCTTTGCTCGTTCCCGCTCTGTTTTCATAATCATTCGAAAATCATCCATGATCATTTCAACACGACTTCAGTCTTTTGCTGTGTTGTTGCCGTCACTAGACGCCCTTTTCGTGCTTCATCCAAAATGCTTTCGCATCCACGTGGGAGTCGGTGACCACCATTTTACAGTTATTAAAGAGAGATTCATTTTCTATTGTGTGCGACATGTTCTGGTGAATTTCTGTTGCGGTGAGGCCTTCCTTACCAGATATACCGAATCGCGGCCTTGTCAGCTACTCTTTTCTCTTAGACTTCCTAGATGTATTCCACTTGAAAAAAAAAGGAGAAAATGTGCCAATTTAATGAAATTTCGCACAGATTTTGGTAACATTCCAGACTAATATCCTATAAATTTTTTTACTCTAGCATTGTTCCTTTCCTGTGAAACTCAAAACTTTTCATCCTTCCAGCATACTATTATATATATTACCCGTAATATATGACAGCCGGCATTCTAGATAACACTAAGCATTTTATAAAATGCCGAAAATTGACTGACCGTGTATGAAACGATTAAAATTTCATTAACATTTTTAGGCATTTTCTATAGAGTGCCAAATGACAAACCAGAAAAATATGAAATACATCTCCGATTCGTTTCGAATATCTATACATTCCATACATTTATACATAATCCATTAATTTAATATATTCATTCACTGTAAAGTCTTCTAGTATGTTTTGGAATCAGACACTGTAGACCCTACTGAAAATATTAAGTAACGAATTCTCGCTAGGTCTTGGCAGAACAGATGACGGCAGAAGAAGGTTTAAATAACCTTTTTATTTGACCTAAACTGAACAAAACGCACTTACTCGGTGCTCATCTACCAGCACTTGTGGCTAAGTAACTTAACAGAAAAATAAGATGCACAATTACAATAAAGTAATATTGGTGACACGACTGGCTCCTTCGTTATCTAAACTGCTAAATCGGCTTCCCACAGCAAAGCCAAACCTAAAATATCAATATAATCTAAGAAAAGTGGCTAAGCACCAACTATTCATGTACAAAGCTACTTCAGACACGCGGCATAAATTCGGAACTAATTCTTTTAATAAGAACTCTTAAAACTGCTGCTTAAATACAGAGTCAGATTTATACTTGATAAGGCCCTAAGCTATTTGAGATATGGGGCCCTTCGTAAGTCTGTTATAATATATTTTAATACTATTTATACTATATTTTAATTTTTGGGGGTTCCCCAAGAAAGTGAGGGTTCTAAGCTATAGCTTGTGTAGCGTATACATAATCCGGCTCTGCTTAAGTACTGTTTTCAACTCACTTAGTTTTGCATACTACGTCATTAAAATTTACATTCTGCCAGGAAACTGAAATGAGAAGGGAAAGGAATGTTTCCTAAAACTAAACATAATTGGCTAGAATAAAATAAGGCCTTTGCAACAGTAGCACGACGAGTGGACAATATACTGAACGATATCTACGTACAAATGAAATCGACTTTGGAAAAAACGTGCGTACTTTTCCCTGCAATTTAATGAATCCACTGACGTTACTAACTCACCTCAACTTCTGATGTTCATTAAAACGTTGTTTCCCGACTTCTCCGTTAGAAAAAGCATTGTTGACCATGTTGACTTTGGCAAAACACACTCAAGAGCAAAACATACATGACGCAGTTAAAAACTGTATTAGTGAAAAGAAGGTACCAGTAAGAAACCTCAACGTAATCTCAATCGATGGTGTCCTGATTATGATTGGGAATTGTTTATTGGAAGCTCCGTTTATTGGGCTCCGTAAGGCAGGATGACCCATTTTCCAAATTTAATTCATACCACTGCCTTATTCATCAAACAAATCTGGCCGGTAAAAAGCTCAATCGCGTAATGACTGTTATTGTACGTACTATAAATTTTACTCGAGGGCGGCCTTTGAATCATCGACATTTTAAAGCTTTTCCTGATGAGCTAGATAGTGAGTATGATGATTTAATTTACCGTGTAGAAGTAAAATGGTTGAGTCAAAATATTTTAACAAGTTTCATTGCAATGCTGTTCGGAGATCAAAACCTCTCTCATATCCAGAGACAATTATGACCTAAATTGGATGACATGGAATGGCTTGTTGACTTAGCATTGTTAGATATCACTCGAAATCTCAAGGACTAAATACCACGTTACAAAGATAATGAAAGCACATATCGGAAATAATGAACTCAATAGCTTCTTTTCTTTATAAAATCGGTTTGTGGAAGAACAACTCATTGGAGAAAGACAATCAACAGTTGCTGTTATTTACCTTCACTGTAGACACGGAATTTATTCTAGAGAATGATCCATCCAAGCATGTTGAAAACTGTTACTTAGTTCAGAATTTTAAAATAATTCTGAGACATATTTTTTTGTGATGTCCATTTATTGTTCAGAAAATATCCTCTCTTGGAACTGGATGTATCAAAAAATCGAAGGCTGAATTAGAGATTACTCTTCTTACTGGTATGACACTCAAAAGCACAGAAAATTAAACTAATGAACCCTACTGAATATGAAAGTGAGAAACAACATGTTGCTGACAAGCTGCGTGTACGCCAAATTTTAATAAATTGTTAGAGATTATTAACAATCAAATATCTCATTAATAACAAGTTAATGACTTGATGAAATAACGGACATTTTAACAGTTACATTTGCTTGTGGTAGCAATTAGTTTATTAGTATGTATTTTTCTTTATTTTCTAATTTCAAATAAAATTAATTTAAGCCCAGACTACATTTCTGCTTTATTAATGGACATCCTTCAGATTTTACAGATTTGTGTTAATTTTCCTTATTATTTGGAAAACAAAATCATCCACTAAATTCATACATTTTCCAAACGTAAAAGACCGGGTGTCCGCGATGCACGGCAGAGATTTAGAAACAGCAAGACCTAAGATTAAAGTTCTCTTAATTAACGATAGTGCTCCAAGACACGGTACTGAAGCCCTCACAACGTTGCATCCAAATATAGAGATTTTATTCCTTCCATCAAACAGCTCTTCCTTAATCCAAGCAATCGATCAAGGAGTCATACAAACATTCAAAGCCTATTATGTCATGCACGTTTTATCTTTGCAAATAAAGCACGACACACTAATGGCATTCTGGAAGCATTTCAACGTAAGACAATGCATAGCATAGAAATGATTAAAATCGCACGAGAACAAGTGAATTTATCAACAATGAATGCTTGTAGGCTTCAGCTCTGACCAGAAGCTGTCAAATATTTTAAAGTATTTCTAACGATTAAAAATGAAACCAAAAATATCGTACAAACTTCAAAAGCAATAGACCAGAAAGGAATTCCAAATGTAAATGAGGGCGAAATTAAAGAATTAGTTGTGAATGACAATCGCGAAATGACAAGTGAAGAATTGGAGGATTTTATAACAGCAGCCGACTGCGAAAGCAGCATAGTAAAGAAGATGAAAAGCCTTTAATATATAATAAGTTGTTATAAGTAATAGTAATTTATAAAACGACATAGGAATTGTCGGATTCTAGACCTAACCCGTTTTTTCCATGGAAAGTTGACTTTCCATGTATTTATGCGATTTTGTATGGAATGTCTTAATGACGTAACCCCACGTAAGGCAAGGGTTTGCTGTGTTATAATTTTTTAAATATAAATCAGCAAAACTGTAATATCATGTAAATAGATTAATAAAAGTACAATCGATCCGAATAATGAGGGTCTGCATAATTTTTATCCTATTGTAATTTTTCAGGTATCTATGTTTCAAAACTGTTATTAGTATTTTATTATCTTATATTCAAATGCTGTGATTAAACTCAAGTGTTTTTTTATTTCTTTTTGCAGCTGAAGAAATCAATGTAAGCTAATGGGAAGAGCTTTGTGATATCCGCATCATAAATAACATTCCCGTCTCTGTCTATCAGTTCCATGCATATGCGTATAATAACCTATTAGATAAACTCTTGTAGAAAAACAATATTCTCAAAAAAGGACTTTTCTTATTTTATCACTTGCTTTAGAAATGTATTTGCACTCCATACGTTGATTTTAGTTTCTTCGACCCTGCAGATGGTATGCCAAAGTGTGTGCATTTTCTAGCTGATAATGTGATATTTTGTTTAGACTTTGTTTCGTTTTTAACATTCGTTGCACATTTATGGACATTACTGTTATAGAAAAATGAATTATTGATGGAGTGAGATTGTAAAATTCATCGTTTTTTAAATTTAAGAAATTTGTCATGTAATACTCAAGATTGAAAAATCTGTCTGAGCTTGTAATAGTTTGAATATTTTAATTATTTTTTCTTTTTTTGCTGGTATTTAGTAATGTAATTGTGATACGATATTTTAAGAGAAAATGAAAACTGTAATTTGTTCTCGAAATTTTTAATTTGAAGCTACGTAAAATGCATCACATTTAATATTATACCATTATTTTCATTAGGTAAGACTAATTTAAGACGTTTCATCATCAAATGATTGTAGAGCATGTTTTGAATGTCAATATGTTTTGCGGACTAGAATCACAATTACAAATTTAATAGGCTATTTTATTTTATACGTTATATTGTATAATCTAATTTCCTTTCATTATTTTGCATCATGAAATAAAATTTATATTCATTTCATGATGTAAAATATAATAAAGTAAAATATGCGTTTGTCAGCTGTACAATATTGTCAGCTGCTATTGTACAATGAAAATATCTGTTTTGCAGATTATGTGCAATATGTCTGCTGACTTATCGGAAAGTACAAGCACCTTATATTATATATGCTTCATACGTAGCTGTGATGCATATTACAGCTTTCACAGATTTCTTTATTTATTTACATCCAAGGGTTTATTTACTATAAATAAATAACTAATAGTTTTAGTTTTGAAAATGTTTATAAATTGAGAGAATATTTGCAATGAGAAGTTTTGGGTGCTTTTTGTTGTTTAAATGGGAACACATTTTGCTGTGATCTGCTGCTTTTGTAATCAATGTAAATATATGTATTTATTCAAATTATATATATATATATATCTATATTTATTTTGTTGCACAAATCTATTTATTTTCTGTTAAGTATATTTATTAAACGTTTGCTTTTAAAGCTATTAAAGATGAATTTAATTTATTTAAAATTCCATCTGAAATCCTTGCAAGTAGCTGAAAAGTTTTTAAACTTCCCAATGTCAGAACATGATGGCTGAATATTTTGTAAGAGCTGTGCTAATGAACGACAATAAAATCTGCAATGTATTTATTTCATCTCAACAGCAGTGTCTATTAGTAAAAGATACGGCGTGTTTTATTGTTTCAGGTGATTATATTTTTATTTGCAGGAATAACATAAAATTGTTTAAGTAATTTTAAATGGGATTTGAAAAAAAGTGTTTTTGAGTTCATAAATTTACTTTGGGATTCATGTTCTTTACAGGCTAGAAGAAAATAGTTCAAATCATATGGTTTACGATAAATAAATGCATATTATGGGATTGCATATGTTTATATGGATATTTAAAAGTCGTTTTATTGACAAATTATTCAGTTGTTATTGTATTTCAGTTTAGGCTCTCTTAAGTCAAAGCCGGATATCGACGCTGCAGTCCAACATTTTACAAACTTCAGGAATTCTTACAAAGGGCAACCTCAGAAATTGGCAATATAGACGGCATACTTCCTGCACATATCAAAGCAGTAATCACTCAACGAAACAGACTTCGTAAATAGTACAGTAGTCCTTTACCAATTCTTTATTTCTTTTAAATTAAATAAACAGTTGACTACTCACCCAGTTCCCAATCTTCCTACGTCGCAGATCACGTCCATCTAGTCACCAACTTTTCTGTAGTGATTAATTTCATGTTATCTAACTCCCAACAAACGACTTGTGACTAAGCAACCATTTATTTTCTCGGGATGAATAGCTTTCTCCTTTCTACAAGCATGGCTCATTTGGCGATTAAAATAAAGGTAACACGATAAAGAATACTTCAGTCACTTTGGCATTACAGTAACCGCCTTAGCAGACAGAATATATAATCTAAAATTAATTACTCATTTTAAAGTCTGTGCGGTGCACGCTGAGCATACTCGCTCTGTGCCAAGCCAGTAATGAATATTTGCATAATATCTGTTACAGCATTATCGAGAAGACGAATTTTCAAACCATTCGTCAAAAAGGAGTACCGCAATTCAGCTGACTCTCTGCAGTGTCCCGCTTATAACTGAAATTTTGGGGTTGGACAAATTAAATTATGACAATTAAGAAAATGCATATATGCAAAATCGCTTTTTGCAAATCCGCTTTTGCTAAGGGTTTGCTGTATGTCTTGTATTGCAGCTTCTTGAAATTCCTCGGGGGATTTCAAGGAATCTGAAACATAATACCATCAAAGATATCTCACCTCACATTTTTGATAGTATTTCTATTCTGCGAAACTGGAGTATAAAACAGCATAGTATGTAATTGCTATGCTGTGGGTCTAGGAACAAATATATGTATCATTATTCAGCAGTTTAAAGAAGTAACTGTTTTTTTTTTTGGGGGGGGGGATCGTTATTAGAGTAAAAACTTTATCTCACAATTATCCTATTTACTTGGGTATTTTCTCCCTTTCCTAGCTATTTTTACAGCTGGAAAATCAAGAGGGGAAATATACACGATGTACACAATTTCTAAAGAGGCGGCTTTAATGAAAAACGTTGCACATTAAAAAGCACACATAAAGGAACATTAATATTATATCATGTATTTCAAAGGACTTATTAATTTCAATAATACTCTTTTTACTTACGCAAACTAATTTCTTACCTATACATACATTTTACATTATTACAATAAATCAAGTATTTCTAAATCATATACTGAAAAAAGAAATGGGGATAAAAATATGCCAGAGAGGAAAAAAAAAAAAAAAAACACATGAGTAAATATGGTATTTATGAACGGGAGGTCCCATTTTTGGACTTCTCCAGTTCAGGCTTTCTGATGAACGTGACAACAAAAATCGCGCCATTTCAAACTCCCCTCCTCCCAATAGAAGTGTTCTGGAAGAGAAAAATTAAAATCGTACCATTTCAAACTTTCTATTTTTAGGCCTTTCAGTATAACTGGTGGGAAGACACTAGGCGTAAAATTCCCATCGCCTTCGAACATTTCATTCTTAAATAATGGAAACATTTTTGGCAAACGTTTTCGCATTAATTCGTCTTGCGATGGTCCAAGAATTTTACCTCAAGTGTCACCATACAAATGCTCCCGTCTGTATCTCTTAACCATTACTATTCTGCAAAACAATAAGATAGAACCGAAGTCTTGTTCCATTATTCCACATAACACATTCAGGATTCACGCCTGTTTTGAGGATTATTTTTTTTTTTTTTGCAGGACCTGGGACCTGGCATTTTTTTTTTTTTTTTTCAGGACCTCAGTCCCTGGGTGACCGGTGAAGATCATCATAGGAAACCGACTGGCTGTTCAGAACTAACAGTAAACGCTGATACCTGGACATTCTCTTCAGAACTAGGATTAGAGCTGGAATTACGGAGACTTCTGGAACCAGATTAGCCCTCCAGCTGATCCTCGTTAAAGGATTTAGAGTGTACACATTTCAGATACGGGGTCTCAAAAGAGTCCCGTATTGTTATTTTTGGTCACCACCTTCTCGTTCTAGAAGTGGGTATTTTGCGCGGCTGCTTACTTCCTTGGCTGTGGTATCCGTTTTTCCGGCTCCCTCTCCGGAATCGAGCTCTGATTCTCCGTCATCCGTTACAACCATGGTAGGCGCGTAACTTACTATCGACAGTTGATAAGGCAGGCACTTGAAAGAAACGTCACTATGATGAGCCCGTGCGATCAGCATAAAGTTAAACAGTGTTTTAAATTATTCTGGAATAACAACGAAAGAAGAAAAACCGAAAAAAAAAAAAAAAAAAAAAAAAGGAAGTCTTCTTAAGGCTCATAATGAACAACTATTTCAGCCGAAGAAAAAGACACATCTTTTGTTTCAATACCATATACTATCTCCGTTCGGCAGATTTTTGTATAATGTCCATTTACCGCTATATGGCTTAATTTTCTCTTCTATGTTAAAAGACACATTTTTTGAAAATCTGTGAATCAAGTCTTCTGTTTTATTAAAAATTGTAATAGCAACATTACTAATGATTTTCACAGAGCACTGTATTTTTAATACAGGTTTAAAGCTAGCCGAACCCTTAAAAGTTTTCAATTTTCAAGATGTAGAATTATCAAAATATTTTAGCTGAGATTATTTTTTAGAAATCGACATAATCCTATATTAAAATGAATAATATTGAATTGTAATCAAATTTTAACAACTTCCTGTTTTAGATATTAAATGTAATCACCAATGCTATTAATGGTTTATCCAAGCAATGCCTAAACTAAGTGTCATTGTGACATCACTTTTTATGTATTTCACGATTTCACGGTCAAGTGATTTTTTATTGCGCTTTCAGATTTTACATTTACCTGAATGAAAAGACTGAAATGGAAAACTTTATTACCTATACTATCACAACAGGCCAAAATGGCACAATTTTTAAAAATATTCAACTGGGAAAGTTTGAAACGGGATATAAACTTTGTGGAATAAAGTTTAGCACCCGTTGCCATCCTTGAAATTTTCCAATCACGAATAATCAAAACTGCAGTTTTTTAAAACCACGATAAATGCCAATTGACCATATATTACGTATTTGCCCACTATCAAAGCTTCGAAAGTTTCGAAATCAACTGTAAACTTATTCTAATGTCAAGTACTTCACTGTGCCCCCGTACCAAGTAAAGATGTCGTTTGCCCTCCAGGAAATCGGTTAATAATCCGATCACTTTCTGTTTCGAACAGCGCAACTCCACCCTTTTGGCCGAGATCTAGATCTTGAATTTTTTGACAGTCAGTGCTAGTTCAGAGCCCCAAAAATGCAGTTAAATCACTCTTTTTAGTGTTCATTTCTCTGAATATATAAACTCGGCAATACCTGTGATATAACACATTCAGCAGTTATTGCTTTCTGCAGCAGTATCAAACTAGCCGTCGAATTTCTTCTTATCAACATGTTTAAGGTAAGCAATATTATGTAATTTCATTATAGGGGCAGAATTTTGAATATTTCCTTTCCTGAAGTAGTAAAATTAATTCAATTAATTTACGAAATTTTGTTATTAATTACGTATTATGAAATATGTTTCTACTGGGTCTGTGAATCAAGAATGTGTTGCCTAAATACTTCCTGCATCGCACAACGAAGTTAGAAACTAAAAATTAAGGTATGATGATCAATTAATAAATAAATTAATTATTAAAAAGCACTCTTATCATTTCAAGATTCAAGTAGAAAATTTCAAACGAAACTATCAAGAAATTAATTTCATGTTTTCAAAAGAGATATTTTGAACCTCTTCAGGGACGAATTAAGATTTGAAACGTTCTCGAAAAGATTGCACAGAGTACTTAAAACCCTAAAATCTGTTAAATTACCAATTTTCTATTTTATTTCCTAAAAATAAACCTTTCTGCCTCAAAAGAAATTTTGAAACGATATGACTAAAACAAATGGTGTAAAAGAGCTTTTGAAATTTTGGCAGCATTTTAAATGCAACATTCCCCTCAGTGATTATTTTCTTTTCTTTTTTATTTCTTTTATTTTCTCAGTTGCGTATTAAAAATAAGCGTAGAAAAATAGGACTATAAACAGATATGATTGCAGATATCAGTACACATTGTTTATGTGTATAAACTGATTTATTATAAACTAGAAAGCCCGGCGGTCATACGAAATGACCGCTGTTCTAGACATTATAAATTGTAATTCAAATGATTTGTGCAAAGGTGTCTGCTAATTCAAATTGAATTACCCAGGGTAAGCGGCGAGGACGCCCCATTGCTTACTACCCCAAGGGGTCTTCCCCTTCTACTTGTTTAATTGCTTAAAGTAGAGTGAAATGAAGGAAACCACTGGCGGTACATTTCCTAAGAGCCACCGCTAGCTCAATAAATAAAGGTGACTTAAATAATAAAATCTTAATTCACATGTCAAAGATCTCTTTGTACGCAACATTTCTTGTGTGTAGATCTTTCCATCATTTTTAAGCTCGACTTGCAGAGGACAATCAATTATTTTTAATTTTACGTCCGTTCTTTTACCAAGTCTTGAACAGGCAACATAAAGTTGACCGTGTCCAAATGCAGGCTCAGGTAAAAAATGCCAACACGCTTAAGCATTTGGCCCTGAGACTTATTGATGGTTATAGCAAAGGCAAGTTTTACAGGAAATTGTCTACGTCTCAATTGAAACGGCAACTCTGTGTAGTTTCAACTTCACCCCTAGTACTGTTACGCAAACAAACAATAAACTATCGGCTATAAACAGACACTTAAGCCGCATGTAATAAAGATGTTTATTTATTTCATTTTATTTGTTTTTTCATCGTTGCCGGTTTTTGCCGGTTGCATATTTCCGAATACTATTATATATGGATGTTAAATGTATTTATTAAATGTTAAATGCACGTGCTCTTGTATTTTTAATTTTTCCGACTTAGCTTTCTCATAATATTCGTCACGCGCTGCGCTGCACGGGGAGTAAAACAATTTACAGTTACGCAAGCAACCACTAAACTATCGGGGACAAACACTTAAGCTGCATATATACAAGATACTAAGTGAAGTGCGAAATAAAACTTTCGATCTTAAACTCGTAGAGTTTTTTTTTTTTTTTTTCTTTGTTACTGAGCTCAGCAGATACTTCTATGTGTATTATCAGTCAATTTTGTTACGTTTCTTCAGAAATAGAAATTATTTGTCATAGACATGAAAAAGAGGTCGCGTAATGAAAGCGATTAAGTTCCTGACTGTAGCATTATTGAAAATAATGCAGGAACAAAGATTAAACCCTTTAATTAATTTTAAAAAATCCTAAATTAATTTAAAATGCAATTTATATATGAGATCATATGGCTAAAAAAGGGAGAAAGTATGCTGCTGAGCTGCTGAACGTCTGTTAAAAAGCATGATCTTGAACGGTTTTATACAGAATATTGTATGGCTGCTCCAATGTAAAATTTTACTTTTGAAAAAATAAATAAAATGAGAATTTAATGTTTTTATAAATCTTGATTATAAACGTTTATCGTGATTATAAACATTCTATAAATACATTATAATTAACTTATATATTAAAATTGCTCTGAACGGGTTTTGCACAACAAAAAACAGGTAAAGAAAAATTCTGCTTGCATTTCATAACTTTTCTTTCATTATTTCCTGCCAGTTAAAGCCTCAAATAAAAGCTTGTAATTTATGTTTATGTTCACCAATTAAATATTAATAGGTTTCATTTTAAATAAATATATATAGAAATTTCGTAAGAAAAGCATTTCTGAAATTTGACAAGATTTAATGACCATGTAGAGAGTTTACATTCTTTAAACTTTGTTTTCTCAGTTTGCATTTTTTCGATAAATCCTTTTGCTTAAAGTCCTAAAACTTGCACATATATGGACTAAACTATTTAATATTTTTATTGCTTAAATTATACTCTTAACAAGGATGGGTTTTTCAAAATAATGAAAAAAAAAATTATTTAAGTGAAAATGTAACTGAAATTATATTTTTTGAAAGCTTTTACATATAATTGTGCTTTTTATTTTTTTCTGAGAAGTTAGTTTACTAATTTCAAAATAGATCCTTAAAGTTATTAAGAATATTTGATAAATATAATAAAAAATTGGGTTTCAAGTATTGAAAACTGTACTTCAAAAAATTTTAATTAAAAAAATTACCGGCAAAATGCTTTTTTTCAGTTTCAGATCTACTTTACTACAAAATCATTTAATAATATTCATAAAAAATAAATTGAAGTTCTTAAATTGAAAAAAATCATCCAAAAGCTACCAAGTCCCTTTTAATTACTTTCCTCTAACCTGTATACGTAGGTAGATAACGTTTTCGATCCGAAAATTTGATCGTGAACTTTCAATGAATAAGCGCGAAATAGAGGACACCACAACATGATGTATGTCGTTTGTTGTTTTTACTATTTTTACAATGAAATTTGTCTATATCAGGGAGATTTCAACCGGGGAAATTCTTCCCTAACGAGACTTTCATAGTTTCGGGGGAGGTAATGCGATGAGAGTTTTATTTACCTGTTAAGTATTTAGTTTCAGTTTATGAATATAAAAAGCTACTTTTATTCAAGTTTCGGAATTATCAACATTTTTTATACTTTTAATTCTTAAAAGCATTAAAAAATAATCTAAATTAAAATAAATGTACATATATTTTTGGCATATAAGAGCAGATCAAAATGAACGCTTAGGTTTGTAGATGGTACGGAAATAACATAGAAGAAAATTCAATTATAGTATTCGCTTCAAAATATTTGTTTTAAATATATTTGTATAAACAGCTTTCTTTCATTAACAGACAACTAAATTTTATATTATTTAACTGCCCAATAAAATGCAATTTTAAAAAAATGTAGGCGCAAATATTTGATTGTGTTGGTTTAAATTTAGAAAACTAATATGACACATGGTGAATCATACCTAATAAAACGGAATTTAAAACTTCGCATTTCCAGAGCTAGATTAACCATTAAGCAATATAAGCACATGCTTAGGCATCAAGGGAAAGGTCAACCAAAGAATTTTTTCAGTTTTACCATGAAATGCATGATGCAGCTAAACCAAAACCGGCAGAGAGAAGGAATGAAGAAAAAACTGGCTTAAACACATGTGGGAGCACCAAAATCTTTAAGCGATCAAAGGCCTCTAAAAGTCTTAATCTGGCCTTATGTATGACGGGCCTTTCTACTGATTGTAACAATCAATTAAATTTTGTTTTCAAACGGACAACCGAAAGTGATACTTTACTTAAAGCTCGAAACATGGAAATGGCGGGAGGTCAAGTGCTTTCCTCGCCAGACTTCCCTTTGGTTTTATTTAGTTTTTATCATTTCAAATTGGCAGCAGTTCAGCAAGTTAAACTTGGAGTAAGTATACACTGTGTTAATAATGTCAACATATCTAGCCGTTGAACTTAATGGCAATTATCAATAAAAAATATACATTCAAAGCATAGCGGTTCTCTGCGTTTTTCGAAAATGTATCCCCTTTATCTTACACAATTTTAGTCATGTTATCTAGGAGGATTTTGAAGTTCCATTTTTAGCTTCCTTGTACGAAGTTCCTTGCATTGTAATCGCGAAAAAATTCGTGTATGATATTTCAACGGAAATATCCATTTTGGCCTTTCCCAAACCTATGTGGACATTTTTTTCGAGTGATGTCTATATAAACGGACAAAATAAAGGATTATTTTTTTTCAAAAACTTTATTTCCAAAACAGATTATAAAATGAATTTCAAATGTACTCAAAGGAATTATTTCGTGGTATGTACAGACATATGTATGTATCTTGCATAACTCAAAAATGATTAGCCGTAGAAAGTTGAAATTTTGTATATGGGACTTCTATAACATCTTGTTATGTCTCTTCAGTTTTTATTGCAATCGGGAATATACTAAACCCACTCCTCTTATCCAGGTTAAACGTTTCTTGCCGGCATTTATTTTCGCAATAGTTACTTGTATTCATAACTTCCAAACACACAAGTATTTTAAATAACGAAAATATCCATCTTTTGTCAATTTCAAATTTAAAAATTTAAAACTTACTTAGTTTTGAAAATATAACGGAATGCAAACTTCAATGCGGTCTCCTATTCATATACATATATTTGGGAAAGTTTTAATGCTGGTGATGGAGAAAAAAATACAAGAAGTTTGACTCACATACGACAAAAATGGATCGGGAGATTTAATTTGAAATTTTTGATGCCATTTTCAACTTGCCTTGAGGTTATTATTATTAAGTTAGAACAATTTGAGAAAATAAGTTTAAATGAAGTAGGCCGTACAAGGAAGTCATGGAGTGATCACATCAGATATTTTTTAATAAATACTGGACTTTTATTTTGAATAAAAGAAATTTACAGAATTATCTTTAGACTACACACGTTTACACTATAGACTAGAGACTACAGACCTTTTTTTCCAAGTTATCCCAACGAAATCTTTTGCCTAAAGATGAGAATTTTCTAAGTTTTAATTCCAGTTATCGAGAAATAATTTATACTTTTAGAAAGAAATATGGAAAATCTACCAGTATTTTTTTTCAACGTTTTCGTCTATTATATTTTATTTAAAGCACACGAACGCTGTCTGCCTAAGAGCATGGATACCAAAGCGGTAGACATCAGACTTTATCGACTCACGGAACCTTAGGTTTATAAGGTTTTTCAAAAGGGTTTTTTTTTTTTTTTTTTTTTTTTTTCGAAAAACCCCATCCTACTTTTAGGAAAATATTATTTTAGAATAATATTTAAAGTAGATCAATATGTTGCAGATACCTTTTGTAAAGACAATTAAATAAAAGTATTTTATTTTTTATTTAAAAAATTATAAAATAAATTTCATGTAATTTACTCCTTAATAGCATTAATCGTGTTCTAGATGTCCTCTAACCTTGACTTATATTTATTGACAGGAGTGTGCTTTTTTGTTTTACATAAACAAGTGCAGTATAGCTCTGTTGATGCTACCTGCTGTTGCATTTCATGTTCTGCGTTTAATTTGCTTCTATACTTTGTTTTCGTTGCTACAAACATTGAGAAATTTTTTTCACGTGAATACACTGCTTCGAATGACATTAAAATGTTTATAGTTGATGGGAAACTTCTAGCTATTCTGCATGAATCTATAACAAAACATTCAGGAGCTGCTCTTGCTTAAATTTAGATTTTAATGTCGAGTCTGTTGATAGCCGATAAGTTGTTCCCTCTCCTTCATGGATAAGCTTCCTGACTTACCATAGTACTCGAATGGATATTTTCTCCAGCCATACTTCAGCCATACTTACCTTCTGGGAAATATTCTCTTATAGTTTTCTTCAACTGAAAAGCTGCTCCATTGTATAATTTTTACGACTTGGTCTAAATACTATTCATTTTCAATTAAAAAACTGTTTAGTTTTGCAAAGCATTTTACGTCATTCTCTTTGGCGGCTGATAATCATATGTTAAGTTTGTAAACTAATCTGCATGTAAACTATAATTTTTATGTCTCTATAATTTTTAATAAATAGATACACTAATCAACTAGCGTGAGTGCTGTATAGTTTACTTTTTAAATTTTCATTTTTACTCGAGGAACCCTAGGATTTGACTCTCAGAATCCCGGGATTTGACTCTCAGAATACAGTTTTATAACCACTGCCTTAGAAGAAGACTTTCTAAGGGAAATTGACTCATGTTTACATTACACATGGAAAAACCTAGGAAAACACCTATACAAGCAGCCCGTTTGTAGGGATTTGATCACCAGAGTTTGAAAAAACGTTTTATTTTTCATTAAAGAGAAATGATTTATTTTTAGTTATGTGAAAAACCTTCTCCAATAAACATTTATTTAACAGTAAATTTTGAATAAATTTGTTCTTTGTGTGAAAGCAATCACATTTTTATGCGATAAATATACCCAAAATATTTAAAAATTCAGATCAAATTAAAATAGGAAGTTATCTGATTGTAATGAAAGTGTTCCGTCAAAAACGTTCTTAATAAAGTTAGACCAGGAAATGTGAAAGTAGTACCTTTAGCGCAAGTAATAATCATAATCTATGATTTTCTATGTTTTGATGGTTTTTCAAAGCCTTTCACCCAGAAACTTGGTAGCGGCATGTCCAAAAACAGATCAACCTCATTTCGACGTACAGTGCAGAATGGAAGATAACACCAGCAAGATGTAGCTGAAGGTGAGAAAAAAGATAGATGTCCGAAGAACCGATGTCGGGGCTATATGGTGGTGTAGCAAATGGATTCCATTGGAGTCCTTACAGAGTCAAGCCAGTGAATGCAGACACATGTGGCCTTGCATTATCTTGATGGAACATTACCTTTTCGTGCCGGAACTCACTTTGACATTTTTCCTTGATAGTAGCGTTACCACAGACTAGCAACTCGCTATACACATTACTATGAAAGGCTTTACCTTCTTCCAGGTACCCTTTGTGAATAATACCACAACAATTCCACCAGATACAAAGCATGATCTTTTTGTCAGTCAAATTTTGCCAAAGAACTCACCGGGCGCAAACCCATCTCCTTTTCGGTTATGTTGTTGAAGTAAATCCACTTTTCATTACAAGTGACGATCCGGTCCAGAATTTTATCATTGCGTTTATATTGGAGTAGATTAGTGCAGGCCTGAACACGTCTGTCCTTGTCTACTTGAGTCAGGTCATGTGGCACCCAGCGATTGAACTTGTACGTCAAGTTTATGCAATGCATAGCGCGACTAATGGACATAGCACTAACGTCTAATTCCTTAGCAAACTCTCGAGTAGTTGCACATCAGTGGGCCGGCGAGAGAGCTCTGCTTCTTGAATGTCATAGTCTTTGTTTTTGAATTTTCGATACCCAGCCTTCACAGTGTCATATGATATAACATTAGTATATAAAGCTGTACAAACGATTTGGTGACATTCTGTAGCTGGCTTTTTGTAAGTTGGAAGTAAATGATGGTTCCAATCTGGTAGCATGCTAGTTGCATTTCAGACACCTTGTACTTGATGATAATGATATTTTTTTACAAATTTTACAATACAGTGCTCTAAAGCAAATTTCTTTCTTTCTAATGCCAAAACTCGTCTGACAAAATATGATTAAACACGCCAACGCGAACTGTTTGCGCAGACGATATTTGGAATAGTAGGAAAGTTTCGTCAAAACCCAATATAACATAATACCTCCACATTGCAATACTTCTTGAAATATCTCATAGAACAGCATCATTTAAAATCTTGATGCATTGAAATAAACAAACAACTAACTGTTCGTATCCAAATGCATGCGTCATGTGTCTTTCAAGAAATGATTCATTTTAGACATACAAAGTTTTAGTTACAGTATGTCAAGGAACCTAATTTTTTTAATCCAATTCGCAGCTTTCTCTTCTGGTTGTGCTGGCAACAGTAGCTATTGCACAGTATGGACATCACGGATATGGTGGCGGTAACGGCGGTGTACAAGAAGGAGGGTACGGCGGCCAGTCTGATTATGGACATCAAGATTATGTAAGATAAAACTAATTTCATTTTCTCTTTGCATCAGTATTTATGAAACGCATAACTGAATGCATTCCTTTTTCAGTTAATCATGCAAGTATTAAATGAAACTTTCAGAGTATCTTGTGTTAACTAACCAACTATTATGATTTAAAACCTTTATTATAACTTAAATCCTTTTCCGTAGTCTTCACCAGGTTGTAAATTACATTGGTAAAATATTTTAGTTGAAGATTTTGAACCTTTTAGATATAGCTTGGCAGCGACGCGTACAGTTTACGTTTTATCGCGCAACTCTACAGTTAATATTCCGGCTTTAGCCTTTCTGCTAACCATCGTCAATCTGCGTCATTAAAATACTGACCCATCTTAAATAAGCTCAAGTGGTGCCTTCTGTTTAATTTCAAGAGTTAAAACAAAGGCTATTTGAATCTTCGCAAGATTTTGTCATTTTGATATTTCACACAAACGATTTTGTCACAAACGATATTTGTCGACTGTGTAGGTTAAAAAATCGGTTTTTCTTATTCTGATTTTGTTATATGAATAATTATTAGCAATTTATGAGATAAGAAGAAGAATGAAGAATCTGCATAAATGTATGTATGTTTTTCGCATTGTGGTAAAACAACAGTATCTAGAGTCATCCAATTTTGAATAACGTAATCCTCTATCGAATATGGGCATCTGGAAGCTCTAATTTAGAATTTGGAATTTGTTTTAGTATTTATTTCATATTTTGTGAGACATTAAAGAATTTTCGATTAACAAACTCAACGATTTCAAAATGAGGAATGGCAACACTGTACGGATGAAAAATATCATGTCCAGTGCTCTAGACTGTGAATCGGAAATTTTAAGGATATGTTCATTTCAAAATTATTTTGCGATAGTGCTGTTGAAATGAATTTTATGCTTTACGTGCGAAGAAGATTTTATTTAATAAATAATAAAAGTAACACAAAAAATGTTCAGAAAAAAAAATTGAAAGCTTTTAGGTTTTACATTACTCCCAAAGGGGGCTTTTCTTTAACATTTTGTGTGTTATCTTTATTTGTTAAATATCATGTTCTTGCACTTAAACCATAAAATTCAATTCTGCAGCAATATCGCAAAATAATTATAAAATGAGAGAATCTTTAGAATTTCCGATACACAGTCTTGCGTTTTAATGTTTTAATGTTTAATGTCCGCGATGTTTAATGGCGGTACTAAAAGGACACTTTAAACTGCAAGAACGCTTATCAAATTCGAATGAAATAAGTTTAAATGAGGTGCAGCAAAAAAGTGTACAATTTAATTGGCGTACAAGGAAGCCATGTGGTGTCTACATTAAATTTTTTGTTGCTGTTATTTTTAAAATATTCAAATCTCTATGCATCATATACTATTAGTTTACTTTACCGCTCGACCGCTGGTGGACTACTCTGTGAGAACAAAAAGGAAAAAGGGTTCCTTAAGTAAGTACATAAGGCTTACACAAGTAAGCAAAAAAAAAAAAAAAAAAAAATACAAACAAGAGAGTAAGAAATTTTTAAAAAAATTATAAATTCCCAAATGAAACGTAAGAAATAAATTTACGGAATGAAAAGAATGGCTTTTTATCTTGAAAGGACACAAGGGGAAGAAAACTAAGAATTTAACTAAGATATGAATTTTCTTCTTCCATGAGTAAGCTTTGGACGGTAAAACAACAAATGTTCCTTATTCTGCACTCGTCCAAAGTTACGGCAAAGCACTCTAGGGTTATCTGCTCAAAGGGAGGATGAATTTGTACGTGACATTATAAGGAAAAGTGTCTCGTTTTTACTTTGCAGATAGGGAAAACTACGAAAACGCCTATGTGGCGTAGTTCACCTAGAATCGTACCCAGGTTGAACTACTAGTATTCAGCGACTTTACCGCTCGACCGCTGGTGGACTGACTCTGTGAGAACAAGAAGGAGAAAGGGTTCTTTAAGTATCACCCCATAGATAGGCCTAATAGCGCGATTTACCGCCAAATATGGATGACCACTTCCTTTAGAACTGCGCAGTAATGACTAGCGAATGGAGACCGTTGCCGAAATTTCCGCCAGTGGGGGGTCGATGAGATAGTACGTAAGTATCGGAAGAAATATTTCAGTCAAACAGGCAGTAGAAGAATTGCTATATAACTTATTCCACTTGAGAACTGTATTTCTGCAACTTTGTTTCTTGAAGAATGACTTAAGCAATGTCATTGTGGTTTTCACGTACAGATTTGTAGCCTGTTTTTCCAAATAGTGAGCCCTGTCATTGTCTGTATTGTAACATGCATGAGAAAAGATGACATCAGCATCTTTATTATTAAGATAAGCAAACCATTTGGCCCATAATGGGAAACGCCATGTAAAGTTCAATTATTTAAACGACTGAGTTAAAGTTAACTATTCTTTACCATAACTTTGATTCTATTTTTATATGAGACTACTCTTAAGACGTTTTTAAAAATTCGAATTTCAGCATAAAATAGTTCTGCTTTTTTTATTTATTTAAAGGTACATGATTCCTTAAATATATACAACATGGAAGTAAATTTTCAACACCTAATTAACTCGTTTTTAAATAGACTCCAGCTTTAAATAGACTTTTAAATAGACGCTAACAAAATAAAAAGGCCACTGAATATAACACAGACTGGCTACGATGAAAGTCTGACGGGTGAAAAACAGGTTATTGCTTCAACTTTCTCTTTCAACTCCAGATGCGTTCGTTTTTTGCATTCTCAACTACTCACGTATTCTACTCACCTAATATCCAATCTATTGATGGCAGAATGATAAAGCTAAAGTAAAAGAAACTGACAAAAAATAGTGTGTTCGCTAAAATAAACTTAAAAACAAAGTAGCAGCATACACTTAGAACTCCATATGCAGTGTTAAGCGTTGGCATGCATTTTTCTGTTTTCTCTTAGTTCGTCATATCAACGTTCAATTTTTCTCAGTAAAATACCTTTTTTTTTTTTTTTTTTTTTTTTTTTTTTGTCTTTTTATATAAAATTGATAATAAATTTATTATGAAAAGTTCATTCCTTTTCCTAATTAAAATGCTGTTAAAATGCCTATCTTATATTTGCAGTTATATTTACATTATTTTAGTTGTTAAATTCCATTGCTATTTTGAAGGACCGTTTTTTACACTTTTTCTTATCGTTTAATGTTATCAAAATGGCCGTGGGCATAACATGATCACAGTAAGCGACACCTACAGCAGCATAGTTAAACCTCGATTCTTCAAATACAAATTTCAATCTAAAATATACGCATTCACAATTATGAATAAGCATCAATCTTAAACAGTGGGCTGCCTAATACCTCACTCAAAGAACTTGAAAGGAATTAAAGAACAATTGATTTCTTGGTTCCATGCGTGAAATTTCTTTGGTTCAAAGTGTTCAGGAGCTTCTAAGATATGTTTATTGTGTGTTCTAGTTTTCCAAAAATTATGTTACACATGCCTCGTATAGCTTTTCGTTTAGAAGAAGGAAAAATTTGGGAGTGAAGATAAAAGAACAGTAAAAGTCTTTTTCATTATTCTTATTACCAAAGCATGACAAAATTGTAGGTTAGTAATTTTTAAGTTTCTAAGTTCTGAGAAAATTTTTTAAAAAATTCCAATTATTTTCAGTCGAAGATACCCACATAGCTCATAATATCCGACTATATCCATTGTATCTGATTCCATATAGTTTCATTATATCCGTTGTATCCTATATAGTTCCATTATAACCGATTTCATATAACCCGTTATACATTAAATTTCATATAGTTCAACAGATGAAATCCACATATTTCGTTCGATTATATTTGATTCCATATAGTTCCATCACATCCGATTCCACATAGTTCCATCACATCCGATTCCACATAGTTCCATCACATCCGATTCCATGTAGTTCCATTATATCCGATATAGTTCCATTATAACCGTTATATGATTCTATGTGATAAATTATATTCCCTTTCATATAGTTCAATAGAAGAAATCCATATATTTCGTTTGATTATATCCAGTTGCAAATAGTCGCAATATACCCGATATAGTTCCATTATCTCCGATTCCATAGTTCGTTATATCCGATTATTGCAGTTTCGCTATAGCCGTATAAAATAACTTGAAGTGTATAGGAAACCCGACGGAACGGAAAAGGTTTTCTCATTATATCCGAGGGTCGTCATAAGCGGGGCTCATTTTAGAAGGCTTTAAATGAATTTTTTCTTCTGTCAAACTTATTGCATACTTTCTTTCCTTTCACAGGCTCATCACCCCATTCCCTACAAATATGGATATGACATCGTAGGTGGCGACCATCACAGTGACTTCAAGCAAACTCGCCAAGAGCATGGAGATGGACACGGTAATGTTCAAGGAAGTTATTCTTACTCTGATGGTCATGGAAATCACAGACAGGTTGATTACGTCGCCGACCATCATGGATTCCGTGCTGTTGTCAAAACAAACGAGCCCGGAACTGAGAACCAAAGTCCTGCGGATGTTCAGCTGCATGCACCAGCTTCTCATCATCAACAATCTGGTGGTTTAGGTTTAGGCATTGGCTCTCGACTTTCCCTCGGCCATTCTTTGTACTAGAACTCTCTTCAATTAGGAATTATTTACAATTTTGGTAAGTTATTTCCAAATGCTCAGGTAGTGAGTGTATAAACCCTTTCTTGTATAAATACAGCATCTTCAAATGACTAGAACACACACTCTAAATTCGAAAGGGCCGTATATGATTCATTTTTATTATTAACGGGTGACAATTGACCTCTGTCTTAGATGATAATGGTACCTAAAATTTATTATAGTAATATTTGCCTCCGAAGGATAAAAGATTAATTCTTTCCGATTCATTCTTTTAAGGAGCGAAGTATATCTTTCGATCCTAGAGTGAAATAACACACTTCTGAGCGTTTTATTTACTCCTTTAAGAGGTGATGATCAATCCTACATCAGTATATTGCAAAGTGTTGCTAGGCATTATCTGATTGCATTACTTTTTTTGGCTGAAACCAGATTTTAGATTTAGCTTTAGAAGATTTTAGAAGCAATTAAAATAGATTATTAGCGATTTTAGAAGCTTATATTTCTGTTCGTGATGTGACTGAGCGATCCGTCACTGCCATGCGCACAATGTTCCTGTCATCACGTGAAGTGGTGCACTGAGGTGGATGCTATCGAACACGTCGGTCCGTCGTACCCTCCTGCATCCAACGGTCACATATCCGCATTACAGTTGTTTGGTTTCGTCCAACACGCCTACCAATTTCCCTGAAAGATAATCCACACTCTCGGTAGGCCACTATCCTTCCTCTGTCGAACTCGAATATTTGATCAAACGATGATCGCTGTTTACTACGAGGCATAATTGATCTTTTTTTGAAAAAAACCACAAGAAAAACACAATTGCCGAACTTGAAATCGTCGAAAACTCCAAGCCTTAAATAACGCTTTGAAGTGGCGCCACAGGTGCGCATGATGTGCATCTGAGCTGAAATTCTAATCATTTGCATATCTCACCTCTGCTAATGCATGTTGTAAATTTCATGTTATTTGCATGCTTCCTTCAGGATGTTGCATTTAGGTTGGTCAGCAGTGTATATCATCTTAATTTGAAATTTTTCGATTTGGTTTATATATATGTAGATAGATAGATAGATACATACATACATACGTATATATATACTATATATATATATATGTAGATAATAGGAAGAAATATTGTAGAGAGCTCGCTAAAAAGTTACCAGGAGCTGTGGCTCCAAGAAATAGTTCAACGCAGAATTTTTTAAAAAATATTAACATGGAAGTAATTTTTAAAATATTAACATGGAAAGGTGAAAAAGCAGCCTACACGCGAAATAAAATACAAAACAAAAACTGTTAAAGTCAATTGTTGGAAACATCTGAATGCACAAAAAAGAGGCAAAACCTATCGATGTGATATGTGTAAAGTTAACACACTTACAAAACAGATCGACGGAACAAGTTAAAACAAAATTAAAATATAATAATAAAACATAAATTGCAAAAACTAAAATTATAAAAATTAAAAAGCGGAAATGGTAAATTAGCCCAATTGGACCTCCAACCAGGCTTTTCAACGCAAAATTAGTTGAATGTCGAATCAAGCTAACACCATTACGCGTTTCGCCGAAACAGACAATTGAAGCTCTTGTTTGACGAAAAATTTTTTTAAATAATATGAATTGTCCCGAAAAAATCTTTTTTGGAGCTTCAATTCTCTGTTCCATTTTCCCGACGCATCCGCAGAAAAAACACATTTTGGTGTAAGAAATAGTAAATGCAACACCGAGCAAAACAAAATTAAAATTAAAAATAAAATAAATAGCGGTCTGCTATTAGTCAAATTATAACAATAACGTACGGGCTGGTCCTGCTAGCTTAAAGAATAAAACCTTTATAAATATTAAGGTACTGAAATAAAAATCTAAAGAAATTAAATACTAATGAAAACAAACGGCGTGGGTCTTGCTAAGACCAAGAAAACGATTTTAAAAAGCACAAAAAAATAAAAAATATTAACATAAAAATATATATGTAGATAGATACATACATACGTATATATATATGTAAATATATGTGTGTGTGTATATATACATACATTACACAGATACATAAATATATTCAGAGTATTCACTATTTAATAATATATATTTACGGATGTTCACGTTTTCGGATACAAGTGCGGTTTAATTACTCTCTTTTTTAATTTCTTTTACAGGTGTTTACTGTGGCAGTAGAGATTACTGTGGCAGTATAGAATTTTACAATATGAAAAAATGTGAAAGGATCTTGCAGTTGTCCTATGATGTAGAAATGCCAGATGTTAAATCAGGAAAGAATATTTTTCAGAGTTTAGTAATCATTAACATTATTTATAAGAACTTCTGTTGTATGTAATGTCGTATGTAAAATAAAAAGCTACAATTAGAAATTCTGTACTGCTTTCCTCATTTTTTTCATAATCGTTGCTTTCAACGGAGAACAAAATCTGAGGATTAAATAACATACATAAAAATATCTTCTATTATTTAAACTTCGGTACTTATGTGTTATCGTAACCACCTTCGTACAAGTACCCAAATTTGCAGAATGTGTCAAACTCTGGCAACCATGCTCATAACTATTCTTTAAGCAACCATGTTCATTACAGTCCTTCAATCAAGACACGGCGCCGTTTTCGTATGTACTTTATGTTGTATTTCGTCAGTTGTCTTTCGGAACTGTTTGATTGATTACCCTAATAATAAAAAATGCTGCAATTTTGTTCATAGCATATTAGCATTACGTTGATAGTGCATATTTTATTGTTTAATTTTAAAAATAAAAGCACTAAAAATAATGAACTATGTTTTTATCGGAGTTGATTTAAAGATATTAGTTTGCATAATAATGCATATAGATTTTAATGCAAAAATCAAAAAGAAATATAATAATTACCTATTATGTTACTTTTCCGTTTTGCCGGCGCAAACGATAAACTCTCCAAAAATGGTTCAACGGATGCCAAATGGAATATCCTCGTTGGGTATTTTTTACGCCTCATTTTCAAAACAAGTTACAGCCACTTCTTATCAGATTGATTGTTTCTTTCAATACTGGGCATACAATTACATAGAATTCTGACCCAGACAGTTAAATTTTATGCCCCCACTCTATTGCCGGAGCAATACTTCCCAGTCATGCAAAGAGTTCCATGCGGAGCCTGGTATTAGAAAATTCCTTATTGAGTTTCCTCTGAGGGGAGAAATAAGAGGGATAAAAAGAAATACGGCGCAATTTTTCGCCTGGGTTCAGGAGCTGACGCGAGCTGTTTGCAACATTGGTTCAAACAAGAACAACTGACTGACTGATAACTTATAGCCAGAATACCACTGAGATCAGTAGTTTATCTGGCTCAATCAAATTTATGCCGGATGGGCACAATAACATAGAACTATCTTCACATAATGTCCGCAGTAAGGAGGAGAAAGACGGATAAAGAATAGGAAGACCAGCAACGCAAGAGCTCACAAGCAAGTAACCGGCCCGGTAAAGGCGTGACTAAGTGGGAGTCATAAGATGAGTGTAGAATGTGAATAAAACTAGAGAATTTAAGAAATACACAGTACAATAAATGAGTAAAATACAAAATTAAGAATGCTAATAAACACATTAGGTACATCATTTACAGGTGGGCACTAGGTGGGAAAGTTCGGGTCCCTGATAAGGTGGGCGCAAGTTTGGCGTCCTCATTCAATATTTCGTAGGTAAAGAGATATCAAAATTTCTCATATGGTCACGGTTCAGAGCTTTCGTGAAGAATTTCCTGTTGATCTTATTCAGGTGCTCTTCTAGAGTGTCCAGTTTTAAGTCACAGTGTGCAGTGTAGCATTGCTCACAAAAAAGTGAGCATGGGTGATAAGCCTTAAGACTTTGTTTTGCATGATTTGAAGTCTTTTTATATCCTCCTTGGTAGCCGTGCACCAGGCCGGCGACGCACAAGTCATCAATGGCCTAATTGCCGTGATATAAACTAGCCTCTTTTTCCTGAGGTCTAAGCTAGAATAATTACCCAATATAGGGATGAGACTATTTACAACAGTGAAAATTTTTCTTCTGACCTCTGTTATATGATCTCCCCATTTTAATCTTTCATTTAGCATTACTCCTAAATTTCGCGCCTTACTAACTCTAGGAATCTCTTCAGAGAATAAGAAGAGCTTACTGTTAATAGTCAACTGTGTATTTTTTCCTCCTTATCAATATAATTGCGACTGCTGCTGGCATTAATAGCAATTCTCCAAGTCTTACCACCACTTTTCTACCACTGGTAGAAGCTCCTGTAATTTCTTGATTGCATGGGTGTGCGTTTGCGGACTTTACGGCTAAGGCCGTATCGCCGCATAGCACCCAAGAAAGTAATTTCTGCCAATGTAGCCCTAGGAAAGTCATGAACATAAAATAAATACAGGACGGGCCCTAAAATGGACCCCTGTGGGACGCCTGCATTCATGGTGCGTAAACTGGAGATGTCCTTTCCAATAGCCACAGTGAATTTCCTTATTAGTGATGAAAGACATAATTAGCTGAATCAGCTTCTCTGTCCATAGGGAGATTTATAAGTTTATAAATAAGCCTCTCATGCCAGACGCGGTCGAATGCGTTCGCCGCGTCTAGCATGAGTAAGGCGATATTTTGTTTCTTGTGGAAGCGCATCCTCACAAAACCTCGACGAGCCGAACCAGCTGCTTCGTAGTTGAAAGCTTTCTCCGGAAACCAAATTGTTCCGGAGGCAGTAATTCAATATAGTTTTTCAATCTGCTTATAGATTATTCTCTCAAAGATCTTTCCTAGTCCCGGAAGCAAGCTAATGGGTCTGTACCCATCTGGCTTAGTGTTATCCTTGCCGGGCTTAGGCAATAAAATAACTGCAAGGCAATAAAATAACAAAAAAATGCAAGGCAATAAAATAACTTTGCGATTTTCCACTTTGTGGGAAAATAGCATTGACTAAGACACGCATTGACAATGCTCGTGAATTTTGTCACAACATTGCAGGGCGGATTTCTAAGTGCGTGATTATTAATACCGTCTATGCCAGGGGCCTTTTTGACTTTAAGCTTCTTTGTGATTTCTTTGATCTCACTGGGGGTAGCGGTGGCCATGTACCTCTTAGCAGTGTTGGCATTAAGCCTTTACTGCTAAGAGACTTAACAAAGTAGCATGCCTCATTGACAAAATTTAATGTCCCTGGGCGTCATGTTAGGTCTGAACTGCTCTTCTAAATGGTCCGCAAGGACCGTCGATTTGTCTTTATTGTTGAGAGCAACAGAGTTTTCAGTATAAATCGGCTTATTGCATGTACGCTTGCCTTTTCAAGTTACGCATGAACGTCCAGAGACTGCAATCATTGGACTAAGATTCTGAATTTTTTCTTCCCATACATCTCTTATGCTCATCTATTTTCTTTTTAATTAATTTATTTAATTTGTTCATATCTCTTTTAACGTGAGGGCTCCATGTAAGGTGCCACGCTTTCCTCATCCTATTCCGGTCCCTTAATCATCTCTAATTTCCCTGTGGCAGAATGCCCAGCGTAATTATTTCTTCTCACGTGTCTAGAGGCATTTTCAATAGCATTATTGATTGAATCAGTGAGGGTATCAACTGCATCATCTATATCTTTCCGCGAGTTCAGAGTATCAAAGATGGGCGGATTCTGACTGAGAAAACAAGAACAACTCCAAAGTAGTTACACCTAAAAGTCCGTAAGATGCTCGTAGCCTGCTGGTGCTTCACTGTGATTGGTTGAAATCTAGTTGGAATCCTTGTCAAAAGAGATGATGTGGAAAGATGCACACGGAGCGTAAGCACAGAGTACTGACAAGTAACAATTAATTATTGGCTTGCCTAATTAAGTGCGCAGCATAAGGTCGGATGAGCAAATCGTCCGGGATGATTTCATAGCTCAGAATATACGCAAAGTAAGCTGTACTGTTGGTCTTTGCCTTTCTGAAAAAGTTTCCATTTAGCTTGGATAAGTAGTCTTTCCAAATCATAATCATATAATCAATATGAAGGTCGCGATGTAAATCTTCATTTCTAATATAGTATGGGGCGTTCGTGATGTTTCTCAGGATCTTACTTTGCAGAACTTACAGCCGGTGAATTTCACTTGCCTTAGCACTTGCCCAGGCCGAGTAAAAAAATTTCAATACATACTCCTATTTATACCCTTTTTGAATCGATCCCCCCAGCTGCCGAGCGGTAAAATTGCTGAACACTGATGGTTCGATCTGAACTTCGAATTCCGCGAAAGGGCTGGCTTCATGGGCGTTTTCGTGGTTTTCCCCATGTGTAACGTGTACACGAGCTAGTTTACCTTAGAATGTCCTCCACGAAGGCCACTCTCACCTTAGGCAGAGAGTCCTCGAGGCTTTGCTGTAATCACATGAAACCAAAACCGAACACTTCTTAAATCCGAATAAAAAAATACACAAAACTGATATAATATCTAAAAGCAGACCACATAAAAAATCTGTTAACCGATTATAAATTATGCCTTAAAATATTTATAAAAAATTGAACACAACTTAAAATTATACAGGAATTTAACTTGAATTATGCAGGATTTTCTAAAAATTACTGGAAATTGATGTTCATATTCGTACAATTAAAACTACTTAAATAATTTTTTTAACTCAAAGCAATTTAATATGAATGCTGAATTTAGGATGTGCATAATTTGAATATATACTGCATATTTTTTAATGCGTTTGTAAATGTATTACATTTTTATACACTACAAATTAAAATAAAAGTAGAGAGAAATAAGTTATAATTTAAAACATAAAATTTATAAATTACTCATCAAAACATGAAATTAAGTGCATTAATATAGACATCAGTTTAAAAATTACAATTTTAAATTAAAAGTATGCACTCCTTTTTTATATGTGAAAAAGGAAAACACTAAATATACTATTTTCACTGAAATTAAATTTAGGAACTGCTTACCTGATAGATCCTTGAGTGTGCAGCTAAAGAAGCTTCATTTTCATACCACACTGCTAGACATGAATTCAGTTTCAAAACTTAAAAAGTTATATGTCCCAGAATTTTCATCTACTAGAACAAAAATAGAGGCAATTATTGCCAAAGCTAATTTCGCCATTTATAATTGATAATGTATTGAGTTCTTAATAAAATGTTAAACAGTAACGTTGGATAGCTCAAACAGAAGTGAAGTAAAACTTGTTCCTATTGTTGTAAGATATTTCAACCTGCAGGAGGGATTTCAAGTTAAGCTTTTAAATTTCGATTGAAGTGTCGGATGAAACTGCTCAAATTTTGACTCACTATCCTTTGCAGTGTTTGAAAACATATAAACGTGAAGAAAAGTTGGTTTGTTATACTGCCGATAACATTAACAGTAAGTTTGGTGGTGTGAAGAGA